ATTTGTGAACTCACTTGGAGTGGTTGGATTCTAAATTTAGGAAAAGATGATATGAATAGCTTTTGTTTGTAATGTTTGTTTGATTTGGTAGTTGTTTTGACTCCATATATATAGATATATCTTGAAATTTTGATTGAGTTTGTGAAATCTGATTTGTAATCAAACGGAATAAACTTCAATTTTTTTTTTCATTTCTGTCGAATATGTTCATGTGAAAAATGATGCTTTCTATGAAAATAGGATCAGAATGTGCAGTGACAAATGAATTGGGTATGCTTTTGTTTTTTTATCAGAAGAGAATTGTCAAAACAAATTGTCATTGGAGTGCAAGCTAACAAAATGTCAAATCAAAGTTGGTCACAACCCATTGTGATATTTAGTTATAACCTAACGTGGCGTTCATCACGATTCATTATAGTGACTTTCTTTTTAATAAAAATGGTCTTTGGTCATATTTCAAAATCAATAATTTGAATTTACTTTTCTTAAAACTTAACGACTGAAAATTAAAATGTATGGTGACAACTATTTTTTACACTTATTTGAGTACTGACATAATGAACCCCCCCTCTCCCCTCCCCTCGCTGGTGTTCTAGAGCCTACATAGATTCTAGGATTTCATATGTGTATCTATTAATGTAAGCCCAACAACATTTGTAACTGATGGTAAGAAAATCAAATGAACACTTAGTTTATATATATTGATTAATAGAACACTTAGTTTATATATATTTGAGTACTGACATAATGAACTCCCCTCCCCCTCGCGGCCGTTCTAGAGCCTACATAGATTCTAGGATTTTGTATATGTATCTATTAATGTAAGCCCAACAACATTTGTAACTAATGGTAAGAAAATCAAATGAACACTTAGTTTATATATATTGATTAATAGAAGAAAAATTAATTAACTCAACGCAAAAGTCAATAAAGATTAAGGAGAAAACTTCACAAAATAAAGATACATCCCAAATAAGTTGGCATAGACTGTAAATCAATCTTGAGCAAACACCTTAACCAAACAATCCACTTATATATATATATATATATATATTTAACATTAATCTTTGATCTAATTGATTCTTGATAATCTCACAAAGTATTTATGGAATCAATTAGGCTCAACTAACTTTGACCAATATAATTGACTTGCTAGAAAAAGTGGAAAAATGAGAGAAAGGAAAAGAAAAGGTTAGAATGAAGTGCCAATTACTGGTAATCAATTCACAGATTTCTCCTTTGCCCCTCCATTCTATTTCTTCAGAGATAAGCCACAGCCACTAAACAATTCAACAAAATAAAAAAATCATCAATATCAAATTAAACCAGGCTGAGATATTATAGATGCAATACATAATGATGATGAAAAAAAGTTCTATCCATTGCTTTGATCCGAACACCCCGGTGCCAATCCCCCCTTCCCCCCCCCCAAAAAAAAATTTGAATCCATCAAGTTATCATATTTAAGTTTTATAAGATATGACATTTGATACTAATTCTCACTTTTGTCGTTTATTTCACTGTTGATGATGTGATTAGTAACCCGACATAGGATAGCACCCAAGTATGGTCACCCTAGCTAACATCACTCCAAACTAATAGTATAAATGTTGTTATACAAATAAATCACATATGAGAATGAGCTATGATATAGAGCTCTAGGTGTAGAGTTCTAAATCGAGCTCTACATATCTGGTAAGGGTAAAGACCAAAAAAAACAAAAAATAAAAATAAAAAGACAAATCATAATGGGAAAAAAGAAAAATCGGAAAGAGCTCATATTTTAGAGGTCCAAAACATTTTTGTATGAGAATTTTGGGGGTGTGTGTGTATGAAGGAGAGCGAGAGAGAACTTGAGTTTACAGAAAGTAGGTAATCCGATTGTAAGGCCTTTCAAAACGAGAAGTCCATTTTCATCAAGATAGCCAATGATTTTTGCGTAGTTCACCACTTGGAACGCCAGTAAAGAAACCCCAGTGTAAGTATCATCTATGAAAACTATTAGGAAGGTTGGATTCTCAGGATTTGTGTCCTTGCAGCAGAAAGTCATGGTCTTCACTTTCTTGGTTTCACCTGATTTGATTCTAATGATTTCTTGATACCGGTCAGGTCGGGCCGGGGGAACAAAAACTCTGATTTCCATCTCCACTGTAGACCTATTCTCAAAAGCGGTTAGCTCCCATTGTAGATTTTGGTGCACTGTGTGCTTGTGTGTGGAATCCTATGAAAGAACTTGTAGATTTTGGTGCACTGTGTGCTTGTGTGTGGAATCCTATGAAAGACCTAGTACTTGAACCTCATATTTATATTATGGTCTCATTTGGCAACTTAGTGTTTTTCTCTATTTTAAACTATACAGAAATAAAGAAGGGTAGAAGTTAAAAAACAAAAAAATACATGTACATATATATTAATGCCTCGTATATTTCTATGCCCTAAATTTATATTCATATATATAAACAATAAAAATATTTAAAAAATTTGCCCACCATGTAGGCATCCTAATTTTTTTTTCAAAATCATTATGTTCTATGTCCACTGTTGTCTCTACTTCGTTGTAGAAGATACTGATCCTATATCATCTCTTCACTCATAAAACTAGTTTATATTACCAAGATCAAGGCTGTCCATGAAAATGAAAGATTTAGAAGAGCTTTCATGGAACTTTCAGTATGAACACTATGGAGCAAGCTCCCAAGTTAATGGAGACAACTTTATTTATTTTTTTTGATTCATAGCAATAGTGGTGGTGACAACACATACTCATTACTTCTGCTACTATGTCCTACATACTAAAAATTTCTTCAAATGTCACTGTTTTCATGATATATTATAATACTAGTGAAAGCAACTATCTTTAAATACTTTGGTAAAGATCCAATGAAGGTACCTGTATAAGATAGTGAGGGGTGGTGGGCTGGCTTCTTTGTCAATTGGCATGAGTGCATTCAATATAAGAATTGTATGTTGCAATCCGAAGCACTAAAATAGACATTAGGTTAACAAATGTGTTACATGAACTCTTTTACTTCTTTCCATTTATACTTGTGCTCACTAGATATGACAAGATTAAGGGTGCAAAAACTCAATTAAATTCTCTAATTTTATATAATATTTGATGAAGAAGACAATTACATTAGCAAGTAAACATTTCTTCTTAAACGAATAGAGATATAAATTGAAGTATATCCCTAAATAATTGACAATATTTTATCAAAAAATATTATGCAATATGCAATATATATGGGTGTTTAAGAGGTGTCCCACACTCTTATTGAACTTTTGAATCTAAAATCTAGATTTATGAATATGTGGTTACCGAGTTATCAAAAAAATAATCCAATAGTCTATCCAATCAAATAATCTTTTTTTTTTGTTTCTTTCTAGATCTTTTATTTTTTATCTTTTAAGTGGTTAATCGGTTGGTGTTGGTACATTTGTTTAACTGTTTATGTAATGGTTATTGATTCTTTGAACAAAAGTAGTACAGTTTCATCTCTATTATTGGTTATGCAGTTTGTTAATGTGAAAAGATGTGCAAAATAATATTTTTCATACATAGATCCTTCCTTTTCGCCCCATAATCATAAATCTCCTTAAGTATTGTCTTCTTTACTAACTCTGTTTCGATGTTCTGTTGTTGTTTGTCACAGGTCCTCAATTTCTACATCTTAACATAGAAGGGAGGCTATACCTCCCCTCTCCCTCCCTCCCTAGCAGTTGCATTGGCAGTAGTGCCTTTTAATTTATTTACTTTTAATTAATAGCAAGGCACTGCCAGGTGTGCTTTTTATTTATTTATTTATTTTAATTGATAATAGGATACTTGCAAGTGTGCTTTATTTATTTATTTTCTTTCAATAAATAGGAGGACACTAGCGGGTGTGCTTATTTATTTGTTTGATATTAATTTAAAGCAGGGCATTGATAGGTGTGCTTTTTTGTTAATTTGTTTTATTTTAATTGATAGTAGAGTACTTACAGGTGTTTTTTTATTATTTCCTTTCAATTGATAGCAAAGCATTGGTAGGTGTGCTTATTTGTTCATTTTCTTTTAAGAATTGATAATTTATAGCAGAGCACTGGCGGGTGTGCTTTTTTCTATTTTCTTTTAACAATTGACAATTGAAAGCAGAGCACTGGCAGGTGTGCTTTTTCTATTTTCTTTTAACAATTGATAATTGAAAGCAGAGCACTGGCAGGTGTGCTTTTTTCTATTTTCTTTTAACAATTGACAATTGAAAGCAGAGCACTGGTGGGTGTGCTTTTTCTATTTTCTTTAATAATTGATAATTGAAAGTAGAGCACTGGCAGGTGTGCTTATTTGTTCATTTGGTTTTAATAATTGATAATTGAAAGCAGAGCACTGGCGGGTGTGCTTATTTATTTATTTCATTTGAATTGATAGCAAAACATTGGCGGGTGTGCTTATTTATTTGTTCGTTGCTGGTGTATTTTTGAATTTATTTGCTTTGAATTGATAGCAGGGCACTGGCAGGTGTGCTTATTTATTTGTTTGATTTTAATTTAAAGTAGGGCACTGGCAGGTGTGCTTTTTTATTTGTTTGTTTCATTTTAATTGATAGTAGAGTACTTGAAGGTGTGTTTTCTTATTATTTGCGTTTAATTGATAGCAAAGTACTGGTGGATGTGCTTATTTGTTCGTTTTCTTTTAAGAATTGATAATTGAAAGCAGAGCACTGGCGGATGTGCTTTTTTATATTTTAATTTATAGTAGGGTACTTGCTGGTGTATTTTTGAATTTATTTGCTTTGAATTGATAGCAGGGCACTGGCAGGTATGCTTATTTATTTGTTTGATTTTAATTTATAGAAGGGCACTGGCAGGTGTGTTTTTTTTTGTTGATTTGTTTGATTTTAATTTATATAATGGCATTTACGAGTGTAATTTTTTATTATTTGCATTTAACTGATGCCAAATCTGCACATCTGTTGTCTACGTGCACATCTGTTGTCTATGCGATTTGTTATGTAGATATGATGGATGAACCTGAAAGTAGTAGGCAGAAAGAGGTCAACAGTAAAATTGACAATCAAGTTGCTCCGGATGGCAAGGATGATGTTGTCGATGGGAAAGAAGAAAGGTTGGCTTCCCAAACCTATGATAGTTTACGAATGCTTACTAAGGTTGATGTTTTGCAAATGAAATTCAATTCAGAGGAGGATGCTTATTCTTTCTACAATGCATACGCTAAGGTCATCGGTTTTAGCATACGAAGAAGTAGGAAACAAATTTGTGGAGACAACAAATTTGTAGAGAGTAGAAAATGGGTTTGTTCAAGGGAAGGTGTAAGAGAGAAGAAATACTTACAACGTGTGGAACGGTTGAGAATTCCCAGGGCAGAAACTAGACTTTTTTGTAGTGCCACATTTCGTGTGTGTTATGACAAGACAAATAAAAAATATGTTGTGAGCCACTTTGTAGGGGAACACAACCATCCCTTGGTAGCACCACACTACGTCCCTTTTTTGTGGTCACACAGGTTTGTAACAAGTGTAGACCAAGCTCAAGCAAAGGCCATGCGCAATGTGGGTATGAGAACGAGTCAAATCATGGATTTTATGGTCTATCAATCAGAGGGTTATGAGGAGGTGGGCTTTATTCACAGAGATTTGCACAACCAGTTCCAAGCTGAGCGCAAAGTACAACTCGCAGAAGGGGATGCAGAGGGTGCCTTAGGATACTTATCAGCTAAACTAGATGTAGATCCATTATTTTTTTCAAGTACAACGTCGATAAGGATAACCGATTAGACAAGATTTTCTGGGCAGATGGTAGGTCTCGGATGGACTATGCTGTATTTGGTGATGTATTGGTATTTGATACAACTTATCGTACAAATCAGCATAAGAAGCCATTTGTGATTCTAGCTAGCGTGAGTAACCATTTTATGACAATCACATTTGGATGTGCTTTGTTGCCTGATAAGATAATGGATACATACACATGGGTGTTGGAAACGTTAATAGAGGCCATGGATGGACAAAGACCTATCTTTGTTGTAACAGATGGTGATAGGGTAATGCGTCAGGCAATCGAAATAGTTATTCCACATTGCAGACATCGTTTATGTTCTTGGCATCTGGAGAAAAATGCCTCAACCAATGTCCACACACCAGAATTTACTAATGATTTCGCACTGTTGATGTTAAAGAAATGTAAAATTGTTGAGTTTGACAATGTGTGGGCTCGTATGGTGAAACAATACAAGTTGGAGAACAATAACAGGGTGTTGGAGATTCACCGCAAGCGTAATAAGTGGGCTGAGGTGTATTTTCGTGGTCATATGTTTGCTGGGATGAGAAGCACTCAACGTGTCGAGGGTATGAATGCATACTTCAATATGTTCCTAGAACAAAAGGTAAGGTTGTATGAATTTGTAGCACAATATGATAGGGCTCTTGCTAGGATGCGTGTTAATGAGGCAAAAACAGAATCTAAAACAGAGAATAGTTTCCCGATTTTGATTACACCATTGAGAAGTTTGGAAAAACATGCAGTTGAGCACTTTACTACCTACCATGAACCATCTATTCTGAAGTGTGAAAATAAAGGTCTCCAAGTGATCAAGATAGGAAAGTTAATTTTAAAAATTCCAAAGTTTCCCTAAGAAGTTAGCAATTGGACCAAAGTAAGAAAAGACAAATAATGTAGTCATTAGGGTGGGTACAGTGAGAAACAATATATATCTACGAATAAAAATACAATTTATTATTTTTAAAACGGAGTAACGGTAAAAGGGTTGTGACCGTCTATGAGATAATAGGCAATGGCTAATACTAGTACGTGCTAGAGTCATAAATGTGTCAAACTAATTCATAGGTGACGTCATCATTTCAACATGAAGATAACATGACACTAGTAGCGGTAACAATGCTATTATAGTGGTCTAAGTCGATGATGAAAGTTGTGTTTCAGTGGACCAAAGGACGTGATTAATCAAAGTTTTTATGATTTTTGGGTGGGAAGTCTAAATTCTCCATAATTTGGCTCGATGTTGTGCCAATTACTGAGATCAACCCAAATCTTCATAATTTTTTTGTGACAAATACAGAAATAGTACCTGGAAATGACAGGAGATGCCTCTTTTGTTTGGATATTTGGATTGGAAATCAAAGGCTTACAGATGTGTTCCCTAGATCGTTCTTGGTGTCTTAAGATAAAATGGAGTCTCTTACAAGTTTACTAGCCTGAACCCAAAACAATAGGAATTAACAAGGCTTATTACTATTTTGAATGATGTAACACATCTTAGAGAAGGTGTTGAAGATAAATTAAGATGAAGAGTAGAACCCTCAGGGGAATTCAGTGTTGACTCAATTTGTAAATGGTGTGAATATTCTCAACACCCAATCATGCTACCTCCTAAGCTGCTCTGGAACAACATTAGTCATCCAAAAGTTCAATTTCTAAGCTGGTTTGCTTGGAAATAGAGAGTAAAAACTAAGGTATTTCTTCAAAAAATTGGGGTTGTAAATATTAATGCTAATACTACTTGTGTCTTATGTAATGGTTAAGTTGATGATGTGAATCACTTATTTTTCAGTTGTAAACCTGTACGATATTTATGGTTTGCAATGTTAAAGTGGTGGTGAGTTCAATGGGCAATGCCAAACTCAGTGGAGGGAGTTCTACAATGGTAGGTAGGGTATGGATGGAAGAAATTTAATAAGAAAATTTAGAGAGCCATTCTACTCACAGTACTTTGGTCCATATGGAAGCAAAGGAATGACTATATGTGTAATACATCTCATTTTGATATGGAGGAGTTATGTCAACTTGTCAAAACAAGGATTGTTTTTCGGGGTAAAAAGCAACTCACAAGAGATGTACTATTCCATAATCGACTTCATTTCAAATTTAAATCAGGTAAGATTGTGTTTAGGAGAAAGGGGTGTTGTCTGATTTTTTGCTTGATACTACTGTTGTTCAAGCTTTTATGCGGGGTCATTTTGGATACAATGATTTCATTTGCAAATGGCGTGTAGATTTAGTTGTTTGATGTCAGTCCATTGTATTGAATGTTGTTTGATGTCGACCTAGACCACACCAATTGTGAATGGCCAACCAATTAAGAATGGCAAAAATTTAAAGTAGCCCCTGATCCACCGTGTGACTCTCATGGATAACTTCTCCATGACAAATAAAACTTGTCACAACTGACGGAACGTTATTCAAACCCGTAGGTAGAGAGTTAAAGCCGAATACGCCTTAAACTTACTCGAAAAAGAGCTTTTCGGGGAAAAAAATTCAAAACAGCCTCCGAACGACCATGTGACTCTCACGGATAGCTTCTCCATGATAAATAGGACTTGTAACAACTGACGGAATGTAATTCGGACCAGTAAATAGAGAGTTAGAGCCAAATACGTCCTAAACTTAGTCGAAAAAGGGCGTTTTGGGGGAAAAAATTCAAAACAGCCACCGAACCACTGTGTGGCTCACACAGATAGTTTCCCAATGACAAATAGGACTTGTGACAACTGACGGAATGTAATCCGGACCCGTAGGTTGGGTGTTATAGTAAAATACGTCCTAAACTTAGTGTAAAAAGGGCGTTTCGGGGGCAAAAATTCAAAACAACACCCTAACCATCATGTGGCTCACACAGACAGTTTCCTAATGAAAAATAGGACTTGTGACAACTGATGTAATGTAATCCGGAGCCGTAGGTTGGGAGTTAGAGTTGAATACGCATTAAACTTACTCGAAAAAAGGCATTTCGGGGACAAAAATTCAAAACAGCCCCCGCACGAACGTGTTACTCTCATGGATAGCTTCCCATGACAAATAGGACTTGTGACAACTGACGGAATGTAATTCAGACCCGTAGGTTGGGTGTTAGAGTTGAATACGCCCGAAACTTAGTCGAAAAAGGGCGTTTCGGGGGCAAAAATTCAAAACAGCCCCCAAATCACCATGTGGCTCACACGAATAGTTTCCCTATGACAAATAAGACTTGCAACAACTGACGGAATGTAATCCGGACTCGTAGGTTGGGAGTTAGAGTCAAATACGCCCTAAACTTAGTCGAAAAAGGGCGTTTTGGGGGCAAAAATTCAAAACAGCCCCTGAATCACCAGGTGAATCTCACGAACAGCTTCCTTATGACAAATAAGACATGTGACAACTGACGGAACATAATTCGGACCTGTAGGTAGAGAGTTAGAGCCGAATACGCCTTAAACTTACTCGAAAAAGAGCTTTCTGAGAGTGAAAATTCATAACAGTCCCCGAACAACTGTGTGACTCTCACGGATAGCTTCTCCATGAAAAAGAAGGCTTGTGACAATTGACGGAATGTAATCCGGACCCGTAGGTTGGGAGTTACAGCCGAATACGCCCTAAACTTAGTCAAAAAAGCCCTAAACTTAGTCAAAAAAGGGCGTTTCAGGGGCGAAAATTCGAAATAGCCCCCGAACCACTGTGTGACTCTCACGGGCAACTTCCCCATGACAAATATGACTTGTGACAACTGACATAATGTTATTCAGACCCGCAGGTTGGGAGTTAGAGCCGAATACACCCAAAACTTAGCTGAAAAAGGGCGTTTTGGGGGCAATAATTCAAAACAACCTCCCAACGACCGTGTGACTCTCACAGATAGCTTCTCCATGAAAAACAGGACTTGTGAGAACTGAAAGAATGTAATTCGGACCCGGTAGGTTGGAAGTTAGAGCTGAATACGCCAAAAACTTAGTCGAAAAAGGACGTTTCGGGGGTGAAAATTCAAAACAGCCCTTGAATGACTGTGTGGCTGACACGGACAACTTTCCCATGTCAAATAGGACTTTTCACAACTGACGGAACGTAATTCAGACCCGTAGATAAAGAGTTAGAGCCGAATACGCCTAAAACTTAGTCGAAAAAGGGTATTTTGGGGGCGAAAATTCAAAACAACCCCCAAACCACCATGTGACTCTCACGGGAAGCTTCCCCATGACAAATAGACTTGTGACAACTGACAGAATGTTATTCGGACCCGTAGGTTGGGAGTTAGAGCAAAATACGCCAAAAACTTAGTCGAAAAAAGATGTTTCGGGGGCGAAAATTCAGAACAACCCTTGAATGACCGTGTGGCTGACATGAACAACTTCCCCATGTCAAATAAGACTTGTCACAACTGATGGAATGTAATTTGGACCAGTAGGTAGAGAGTTAGAGCCGAATACGCCCAAAACTTAGTCGAAAAAGGGCGTTTCGGGGGCGAAAATTCAAAACAACCCCCGAACCACCGTGTGACTCTCACGGGTAGCTTCCCGATGACAAATAGGACTTGTGACAACTGACAGAATGTTATTCAGACCCATAAGTTTAGAGTTAGAGCCGAATACATCCAAAAGTTACTCGAAAAAAGGACGTTTCGGGAGTGAAAATTCAAAACAACTAAATACGCCTTGTTATATTATATTAATTTATTGAATGTACACAACTGTGTTATATTATATTTAAGCTTTCATACAAGGGTCAAACTCTGAATGGTGTTTCTGAGGCCTTGTGCTTCATGAGATATCAGGTATTCTTTCTTTGATGAATCGTTTACAGGTGTCTCACCATACATTTCTACGTATTTCCTTTTGTGATTAAACTTTATTTTTGTTATTATTTTTTTCACATGTTCTAATATCCTGAATGAAATGGCACTGTCAGACATTAATAAGTATGGATAGTTTTATATCTAATCGAATGATTCAAGTGCCTTTTGCAAACAATTAATAAGGAAGTTGGTAAGAAGAATACTTTCTATTCACATTGGGCTTTGATATTGGTTTAGCCCCAGAATTTGGATACATGTTGCATACAAATAGAAGATTGCTACGTTAGCTTTATGTTAGTAATGACAGATTTAGTAATGATTGTTCTACATTTAACAATGTTCCTTATAACAAAAGACTTCAGAAAGACTGATAATTGATTCATCATGGAAGGTTGCTTCGTTGATATGTTATTTGTCACTTGTTGCCAAATTCATTCATGAAGTTGGGCATTTATGGGTCCAATTCTAATTTTTTTTTGTTTTTTTGTTTTTTGTTTTTTGTAGATGACTTTGTTGCGTGGACTTTCAAAGTAATATTTTGGTGTATGGAAAAGAAATTTCACTTTTGCATAAAACTAATATAATACTTTTGTTGTCCATGGCTTTTGTGCAGTTCACTATTACTGATACAGAAAACTTTTGGCAGCCAATAGATAATTACTGGCATGGTACATAGATCACCTTTTGTCACCGTACATATATATGATTTTTTGTCGTGGTACATAGATGTACTTTTGTTTTGGTACATACATCACCTTTTGTCGTGGTACAGATTACGATGGTAATTTGTACCATGCCAAATGGTCATTTCACATAGTAGTAAATGTAATTTTTGTATATGGAGGGCTTTGATTTTTGTATGATTCTATATTTTGTGTAGAATTATTATTTTAGTTTGGACAATAGTTGGTATGTAATTTGACAGTTAAAGTTTTTTTATTTTTTGTATACGAATACAAATTATAGAATGATTGATAGTATATGTATCATTTCATTTATATACGTATTACAGGTTGCGTGGAATACTGACAGGTTATAGAGAAATTATAATATTTGCAATTAAAACATAATATCATGTTTTTGGCAACTAAAAGTTTTGTAGCATAAAAAAAAAAAAAACATTTGGTGACTAAACGTTTTGTAGCCAAAAGAAAATCAAATATTTGGCGACTAAAAGTTTTGTAACCAAAACAAAATCAAACATTTGGTGACTAAAAATTTTGTAGCCAAAAGAAAATCAAATATTTGGCAACTAAGACATTTCATAGCTAAAAACAAAAGCTGAAGAATAAAAATATTTTTGTCGACTAAAATTTTAGTAGCAAAAAATGTGTGAGTTTAGGCGACTAAATTTTTAGTAGCCAAAACAAAAACTATTTGCTGACTAAAATTTTAATAGCCACAAATGTGGGAGTTTAGGCGACTAAATTTTTAGTAGCCAAAACAAAAACTAATTGCTGATTAAAATTTTAGTAGCCCCAAAAATTTGACTTTAGACGACTAAAATTTTAGTAGCCAAAACACTAGTATTTACTTTAGGCGACTAATATATTTAGTAGCTAAAAACATTTTCCGCGATTAAATATTTGGTCATTAACAATAATTGAGTCTTTTGGCGACAAAAAAATTGGTCGCCGAAAATGTATTATTTAATTTTTTTCCCAACCTTTTGGCGACTAAATATTTAGTCGGCAAATGAATACATTTGGAAACTAACATAAGTTTAGTTGCCAATTAGCTTTCCTGACTATTCTTCGGCTACTAATTCTGCGACCAAAAAATTTAGTTGCTAAAGGCCTTCGGCGACTAAAAATTTAGTCGTCAAAATTGAAAATTCTTGTAGTTGTATGATTCATTAGTAAAAGTTATGACATTTTGTTAATCTTATTATGATTGTGGAGAAAAAAGTTGGGGTTATGATTCATTAGTAAAAGTTATGACAAAACATAGAGCTCGCTCGCTCGAGCAAAGAAACACATCCTTCAGGTCCAAACTAGACGCAGACGCATACTCGAGCACAAGAATGCTTGCTCGAGCGAACAGACACACCACTCAAAGCTCGCTTGAGCGAAGGAACCCTAGCTCAAGCGAAGGAACTAAAACACAGAGCTCACTCGAGCGACAAAAGCCTCGCTCAAGCAAAGACACCAAAAGAACTGGGCAGCAACCACTTACTCCAACACTCAACCAACCTGTTCCAATCTTACCCAACACATCCCAAAACTCAAATACAAAGAATAAAAGGATGGAAACAAGAATAAGACAACAACAACCACTAGACTCGAGTCCGAAATACAATACATAACGGGGAAAACCGGGATTGCTATATGCAGACACTAACCTAAGGATTATCTAAGTCGTATTTACTGCCCGTGAATTTGATGTAAAACTATGAAATTGTTAAACTGTCAATATCACATTGTGCATGAGAATTTTGAAACAAAAAATAAATATGAGATCTTCTTTTAAAGGCATAGCATAGCACGACATGTGCATTTCATTTCATGAGAATTGTATAAATGTATATACTTTGTTAAGAATTTTTTTACTGGGTTTTATGCTCACCCTATAGGATCTTAGTGCAGGAAAAGATGTGGTGAATCCGCCAAACTAGGGCGTGGATGTATGTGTTGAGAGTACAAGGCTCTATTTTGTTATGACTGTATTTTTGTAAGCCAATGGCTAAAAATGTATGGGTTCAAGAAACTATCTTTTGTGTAACCGAGTTTAAGCCTTGGAACTTGTAAGTCCTTGAGGGCATTTATTTATTTTTGACTAAATGTTCTACATACTATAGATTCATGTGCTAGAATTCATTGAATGTATAGCTGCATGTGGAATTATTTTATATAAACACTGTGATCATGTAATGAAAGGTGTTGGAATTGTTCCGGTATCTCATAAAGAGCCATGGTTATTGTTCTATCCATTGCATAAATTTTTGGGGCATTATAAAAAACATATGCCGTGGAGTTTTGAGGATACATATATGTTAAGATTATAAAATGAGAAAATATTATTTTATTTCTTAAATTATTATGCAAAAATTAATTTAACACTCAAAATTTATATTATTTTAATTTGATCTCTAATTTTTTTTTAAAAAAAATTTGGTCAATTTATCGTTTGTCGTCTGTTTCCGTCTACAATCAAATGAAATTTGTTGACGTGATGTCACACTTCATTTAAAATTTTATTTTACCTCCTAAACTATACTTTAAAAATCAATTAGCCACCAAATATTAAAAAATAAATAAATAAATATTTAACAAATACTTTTTATCTCAATAATGAAAAAATTAAATTTTAAATAATATACTTTGCAAAAAAATAATAAAAAAATATAAAAATTCTCATTTAGAATTGTCTCTTTAAGTCTCAAATTATCTCGAGTCAATTCTGAAAAAATTAATTGAGCCGAAATATCTTGGCTACTCTATGTGTGTACGCGTATGCAATTGTAATTAGTTTATTCCCTAAATTAATTTTAATGAAATTGATCAACTAATAGTATTCAAAACTGAGTGGGTAAAAAAAATTTAAAATTTAATTACTGTCTAAAGAATACTCAACATGACCAATACTCAATTTTTATTTAAAATTAAATGTTTTATTTTTGAAATAAAAAATAATTAATTAAATATTAATTTTGTTAATATTTGGAGGGCTTATTGATTTTTAAAGTATAATTTGGAGGTAAATTGAAGTTCCAAATGAAATTTAGTGCCACGTTAGCAAATTCCATTTAATTATAGACAGAAACAGACGACGGGAGCGAAATTGATTAAATTTAAAAAAGTTTAAGGTTCAAATTAAAATAATGCCAAGTCTGAGTGCCAAATTGATTTTCACCTAATAATTTGAAGATCAAAATGATATTTCCTATTATAAAATTAGACATAACTATCTTTTCGTAAATTTTATGTTCTTTCTTTATTGAAATAATCTAAATCACAAGATTTTTTGTTTTTTATTTTTTTTTCTTAGAGGGTGGAGGATTAGACCCCACCCTATTTATAAACATTGACACCGACTATTTTTATAACTATAAATTAGAGGTGGATATGGGCCCATTAACCCGTTTAGCCTGCCGAGCTCAGCCTATTTTTTTAGGGCTTGAAAATATTGTTTTAGCCCATAAGAATGGGTTGGATTAATATTTTCAGTCCGATTGATAAATCGGTTGGGTTTGAAAATTGTATTTCAGAATCAGCCCACTACATATTTAATTTAATAAATTAATTAATTTATATAATATATTGAAAATATAGGCTCCTATACTCTTTTACCGTTGCCTAGGGTTTCTTTAGTTTTTATTTTTTCCTTACACGGGGAACTGCCTCCTCTCTGCCTCCTAAGTGACAATTGAAAGGCCTTGATTGCCTTTTGTGTTGGAGAACTAAGACTGGATAAAGAACATTAGTAATTAAACCCTTTAATACTTCAATTAGATTCACATTTTTAGTTCATATTTGTAGTTGTTAATAGGGTGGGTAAACTTAAGTTATTTTAAAATAAAATCTGGGTAGATTCACATTCTTTAAGCCCTAATCTTATGAGCTTCTTATGGCTTGTTAGGTTAATTTTTTTTTTTGTTTAGTAAATTTGGTTTATTGTTTCTATGCATTTTTTTAATAACTTATGTATATGGGCCAATGGATAGCTTGGGAAATATATTTATGTTAGAGTCGGGCTTGAAATGACTATATAGCCCTGATGTTCGGGTTGGGCAAACTTAGACAGACATAACATCCCTTATTAAGTAGTCCTGGCTCAAACTCGACCCTGTCCAGTGAAAAACCACCTGTACTATAAATAAAGCCCTATATTTATTCTGATCAAAATAACCATCGTAAATATATTTTTTTTATTTTTGTTTTTCATTGAATGTCATAAAATGTGGGGGGAATTTTTTTTTTAACATTTTGAGTTCTTGCCCAATATTAAAATTGAAACGCAAAATTATCTTTCAACTTAAAATATTAAGATCGTACTTGGATCATGAATTTGAGTAAGGATTGAAAAAATTAATAAATAAAATAAAAATGAAGATAGGTAAAATATAACTAAAACATAGTTATATTTTACCCACATTTTTTTCTCTTTTTAAATCCTTATTTAAATTTATAATCCAAATATAGATTAAAATAGGACGATGCACTTGGATCATGTTTAATGATACAAGTATATATTTATTGATTTTCTAAATTGGAATTTGGGAGCTCCACCAGCTTCCATTGCGATGATTTGGACTTTGGAGGACTCATCTGGACTTTCAATGCCCGCACATAGAGCTTCTTTAGATGAGGATCTGTTTGCTTGTTTGCAGATTTCTTCATATGTCTCCACTTTTCCTGCATGATCAAAATGCCACCTCGTTTAAAAGCATATTTAAATAATCAATATTTTTTATTTTATTTTACTTGAATAATCAATACTTGTGTATATAGGGAAAAAATATTTACTAAACTATATATAATCCACTATGACATACAACCTTATACGTTATTTTATATGAAGTATAGTATGTTTTCAAGCATATTTAATAATAAACATCTTAACCAAAAATAGAGCATCATAAAATTTTAGAGAAATTCTACTATGCACAATGCAAAAAAAAAAGTGTGCATATTATATGTGAAACCAATTTTTTACGCTTACAAAAATTTACTAAACTATTTACAAGTTTTTAAAAACAGAAACAGATACTAAACAATTTTTTGTTTAAAGTTTTTCAATTTTTTTTTGTAAATATAGAAAGGGAAAAAAAAAAAAAAGTGCAAAAGGCAAGTTTAAACAAGTTCAAAGGATTGGCTTAGGACATATTTTAACAGTTTAAATATTATTGAAATCAATTACTCATGATTAAAGATGAACTAATAAATCAAAGAGCATTAATATGTTTCAGGAACTTAAATTTTAATAATTCAACATTACAAAAATACAAATCAAAAGTAATATCATTATAAAAAAAATAGATGTCATATAATTTACTTAATGCATAAATTGTAATAAATCGCAAATTGCACCGTGTCCACGTATTTTTTAAGTTGTCTTATACTAATGAGTGGTAGGCTGTGGGAAAAAGAAAAAGTAATATAAATTTCTTTTCCCGGTAAATAAGTGAAACTTACGGTTACAAGAATTTACTAAACTAAATTTTTGAAAACTGAAATAGATACTTAACGATTTTTTACTTATAGTTTTTTCAATTTTTTATAAATATAAATAGAAAGCTGTAAATAAATGTTACCAAACAGACCCGTGTTCAATTTTCAATACCTTAATTTTCATATTTTGAATTTCAATTTTAAAGTTTATCAAACAATACCTTGGTTTTCTAAGGAAAAAGTTCTTAGTACTTGCTCGGGGAAATAAACTAGGAAAAATTATAAAATAAATAGTTTGAGCTTTGTAATAAAATAAATTTATAAATTTATCAATTTAAACCCTAATATTTTGATTTGTTTTTAATTTGAATCATTTGCCTATTTTTATTAGATAAAACTAACGGAAAAAGAGTATTATAATCATTAAACTTAATGAAAAATGATATTTTAGATATTTTTCATATAGTTACATTTAATATGATGACTAAAGTGTTATTTTTTTCGACAATTTTAGTTAACGGAAATAGACAAATAATTTAGATTGAAAATAAATCAAAAAATTATGGTATAAATTGATGAATTAAAAAATTTAGGATTTATTTTGTTACATGACTTAACCTATGAGTTTTTTTTTTGTGTGTAATTTTTCCAATAAACTATTACGTAGCGCTAAATAGGGGAAAGCTACAACGTAGTATGGAAAGATTGCAAGTGAAACTCTTTACCTTCAATTGGTCTTTTGATCGATCTGAATCCTTAAAATATAGGTTCTTAATAGTCTTCCAATTGCAGTATCTGTGATACAAAATGACAAAAATCAACATGGTATCCTAATTCAGTTTTTAAAAAAACATGGTATCCTAATTGTGTTTCATTTCTTAGTTGTGTTTCATGTCATAATAAAACTTACTTCCCTCCATATTTCTCAACTCCTTCAATCAGTTTTTCCATTTCTTCAAAACTAAACTTGTTATAGGTTCGACCTTTCCCTTCCGAGGAGGACAACTCGACGCTTTTGCATGGTGGAGATGGTTGTACCTCATGGTTGTAAGTTTCCTCATGATCTGGATGCCTACAACAAGTAATGGACCAGTTTAAGTGATCATCAAAGCTGAAAAATAGAGCATTACTAGAAACCTCAATTGAATTATCAAATATTCCACCTAATACACAAAATAAAAAGTAACGTTTCTAAAATAATATAAAGATTTCATACATCAACTGAAAATTGGCTTTTACCTTGGCAGAGGTTGGGATGTGTTCCCCGTAAAACTCCCCAAGCTAAGTTGTGTGAGCTTATCCTGTTCATCAGTGGTGGGCTTTTGACCCTGAAGTACACCATGATACACACTCAACTAAAGCTGTGGAACCATTGCTTCCATACTCTTCCTTTTTCTGTTTTATTTTTAATTGAATCAAAATTCCGATCTGAACTTAAAAGGCATTTTGTTGCCAACGGCCTTGTTTGTGGTCTAGTTGCATGGGAGAGGTTGGAGATTCAACTTCCCTCAAGAGCTAATTTAACAATTAAACAACTAATTTTTTGCAGGGAAAAAAAATGCGCTCATTCATTTTTACTATTTTATCATAGTAATTTCTACTCTTGTTAATTTCCCTAGAAACTTCATTTAAATTCAATGGATTTCTTTCCATCTGCCAACACAAAATTTGCCTTATCAGTTTGGACCTACTGTAATCTAGGAGTGCCCAGTGGCCCAAAAAGTGTAAAGGAACTACCACACATGGCTCTGTAATATTTGGTACTGGGTTTTGTACGGCTAAAAGTTGTACATGTGAGCCTTTCGGTACTCACTATTGAAAAAACAAGGGTGGTGATTAAGAGCTCTAATAATAGAACTCTAATAAAAGCACTAGTGACATGGCAACCTAAAAAAAAAAAAACAAAACAAAACAAAACAAAGGCAAAAACATCAAATCACACAATGGAACCCACAGGTTAGAGCTCTTCTAGAGTTCACAATTTAAAGGTCTGAAGCATTTTTCAAAAAACAAATGAACAAAAAATTATACTAGTATAGTATCAAACATTGACTTACTTTGGTGCGAAGGCATTAAAGATTTGGTGCAGGGTGGTGGCCCATGGTAGCTTTTTAAAATTTTTAATTAGGTAAATTACATTGATATTCTTAAAGTTTAAAGAAAAAACAATAAATTTTACAATGGTGACATAATTATACTGATATTCTTTTTAGTAAAGTTAAAAATGCCAAAACTAATGGACCAAGGGATGTTGCTGTGACTGTGGTGCCCCGGTAGAGATTTTTTTTGAGTCTTTTTTGATAATCCAAAACGTTGTTATTATAGGATTCATTGAATAGATCATCTATGTAAAAAATCAAATTGATTGGAAATCTATAGCTTTATAACAAGAGTGCATTTGTTTTTTAAAAAATAAATGGTTAACATGATATTGATAATTTTTTTAAAACAATCTGAATATGATCATGGGATTGTTGATTTTGATTAACTTGATTTTTTGTATAAATGATATACTTGACGAATCGTACAATATACGGTTTGGATTATCGAAAAAAATTGAGAAAACCCCCTTCCAGGGCACCATAGATCACTGCTGTGACTTTAGGCAAAGTAGGATCCCCAAATCCAAAACTAATATAGATGGTGTGAATACACAATGATACACAATGTAAAATATAAATTTAAATGTAAAGGATATGGCAACATCATTTTTTTATTTATACAACTAACAAATTTCTGATAAAAAATAGGTCAGGTATTATATGAATTACAACCTTAAAAGAGTCTAGTTTAATTATGTTAAACTTGTGAGATTTTATTATATTCTTTTTCAAATTTTGTGAGCCGTCAATGTAATTTACCCTTTTAATCATTTTATTCTCCTCAGATAAATATTTAGTCATATTCAAGTGGATTTTGCTAAACACATATTTTAACATACATTTTAATATTTCGATTAGAACATTCATATACATTAAATTGACAAACCTTTAACACATAAAATTAACTCTCACTTTTAACACTTTTTATCACATAAAACACTTTAATAAATATTTTTAACCTCTCTAATGCATATACTCTTATTTTTATTTCTGTTGAGAAATGATTTTCTTGACTCAAACCCTTGCGACCAAAAATGGTAACAAAAAAAAAAAACCTTACTGTTGGTTTATAGAACAATCTAGTGTTAAAATTAAAAATAATAATAAAGAAAAAGAACGATAAGCATAAATAAATAAATAATTCAGTCATATTCAATAAATAAATAAATAAATTAAAATGAAAGCAATTTATACATCTCTTATTTTAGCAAGCTATGGTCTCCCTCAGCTGCGGATGAGGAAATTGAATAAAGGGGGCTAAAGTAAAATTATTTAAATTTTAGAAGAATTGAAATAAGATTATATAAATTTTGAAAACTAAGATATTAATTTATTCTGTAAAAACTCAAAATGACATGAAAGTCATGAGATTTTTTTTGGAGTGATTAAAATACTAATTTATTTTATAATTACTAAAAAATGCATGAAAATAATATATATTTTCAAAATTTACGATAAAGTGAAATTATTTAAATTTTGAAAGGGTTAGAGTAAAATTATATATATTTTGAAGGGACCAAAATGTAAATTTTTATAAATATGAAAAACTACGTGATAAAAGTGTAATTTTTTAAAAATTGGCGATGGGATGGGAATACCTGACCTATTTTAAGGTTGTAATTCATAGGTCAGGTATTATATGAATTACATCAATTTTACAGGTATTATAAAAAATAGGTCAGGTATTATATGAATTACAACCTTTATTTATACAACTTTATGTGTGTTTAAATATTATCTCCAAAATGTATTAGGTGTTAAAAAACTAAAAATATAATGGAGAAGGAACGTACCTGTAGATCCCTCTCAACAATTCCACTTTCGCAGAGCGCTAAGCGAAACGAATTAAAGAGATATATATAAATAAATAAATCAATCAACAAAGTCATGGGTATTTTTAGAGAAATGCTAGACTCACGTTTTTTAATCTATAAATTCACTTATAAAGATATGATAAGAGGATAGATTAAAAAATAAATAAATTAATATTTATTATATCACATTATTATGAATTGAATTGTAAGAAATTTTTTTGATAATCTCAAATATTTTCTAAATTTTTATTTGCAAAAATTATGAAAAATAATTTTTAAAGGGCGAAATAGTTATATCATTACCTGTCAAACTGACATCAGGATCAAACTGGTGCGGGTGAAATTGTTGGCCAATTATAAAATTTATGGAAATAATGTATAATAATATCAAAATTATAAAATTAATTATATTTCTCTCATTAGTCAAGAAAGTCAATCTTTGGACCTTATATACATTGACCATTTCCATCAAATAACTAAAAAAATAATATAATATGGGTTGAGTTTAATTTGAATTTGATCCTTATATTTAGATACATGGGTCCACGATCTCGTTTTAATAATTAAAAAAACGGAGCTGCTGCAGAGCTCTAATTAGAGCTTCTGCAGCGCAGCTCTAATGAGCTGTCTAGCAATATAAAAAAAAAAAAAAACACAGTGAAGTAAAAGACAAAAAAAGGAGAAAAAAAAGACAAATTAGAGATCCATTAGAGGTCTTTTTTTATAGGTCTAAATCATTTTTCTTTAAATAATTACTTTTGTAAGGCTCTCTGTATATATTATTCATAAAAAATTAGATAACAATAGTCATTTCATTTTATCATGTCCGTCTGTATTTTATAAATAAATAAAAAATAGATGAACTATTTTTAAAAACATATTTGTCATTATTTTTTTAGAGATAAAATTAAACAATTATGATTATTAGATTGGTGTAATTTTTTTCACGAATGATATACAAAGAAAACCCTACAAAATGAACAATTAAAATTATTAAAATAAAATCTATAATAGACCTTATGAGTTCGAACATGATCTCATCTGCATGCAATGTTTGGAAGCCTTGGATTCAACAAAAAAAATCCTCACCAGAAGAAGTCAGCCATTGAGTGGGGATGCCATCGTCTTCTTCTATCATTTGATAAAGTATGGCAATTGATTTATGAATCGATAGTGAAGAGTCTGAGAGATCCTCGGTAGGTCCTCTGTTTGGTAATAGGTTTAGATCCATATTTGTCTATGTTTTGAAAACCTAATCAGAACACAAATGACCAGTTCTCAGAATAAACTTAATCCATTAATTGATTGCATATCTGCAATTGCTAATGCATCTTTTCCATTAGCTTTTAACTTAATTAGGAATAGTTATTTTTTATCCTTCTTGGAATGATCATTTTGTTATGATGAACAATGATAATTCTATTTATAACATAATTTTTTTAATTTATTTTTATAAGCCAAATGTGAAAATAAACATTATGACAGAATAATTATTTTATATTCTATAAACCAATAAAATAAAATAAAAAAGCAGCCAATTAAATTTTAAAAAATAGATATTTTCTATAGATCATGTGTGAACTAGAGAGTCTAGTTGGGTCTCTAATGATTCAATCCGTTCCTTTTGCAAGTATCTATATGTAGATTACGGGGGGAAAAATTATATTGATTCAATAAATGAAGTCATATTTTTCTTTAAAAATAAATAAATAAATAAATAAAAACTGTAAGGATGATTTTTAAAAGAGATCATCTATTTTTTTAAAGAAAAAATGCAACAAAATAGTATAACTACAATTATTGGATTAATATGATTTTTTTTTTATAAATGATTTACACAAAGAAAATTATGAAATAAATAGATTAGATTATTAAAGTAAAATTGTACTGAGCTCAACAATACTGTCTAATCTACAAGCCCTATTTAATTAAAAATAGTAGTGTTAATTAAAAATAGTGATGTTAAATTAACTTAATTACTTGAACTCAACTTATATTCAACTTGTCAAAAATTTGTTCGAGATGAACTCTATAAACAAGTCAAATTTAAATATATTTTAAATTTCGTTAAGTTATAAGTAAATTTAAACAATTCAATACTCAACTTTATTTTACTCAGTTCGTGTACAACACAATTTGCAAGACATAAGCTAAAAAGAGTCATCAAATGAACGCAAGATATATATATATACATATATATTTTTGATGAGCTACAAACTCAAAGTTGATTAAAAAATTTCATCCAAACCGAAACTAAAAAATGAACCAAAAAGGATTTGCTTGATAGAGAGACTTACAGATGAAACTCAAAATGCCAAATAAGGCCGGTGCGATAGCTGGGAAGGGAGCTCCCAAGTAATTTATATAAATTTTCAATTGTGTGGTTATTTTTGTGTGATTCCCATCGTGAAATTACTCTTAATCTTCCTTCGAAAGTAGTTGGGTTGATCACAATTGTGTAAGGTTGATTTTGTGTGATCACATTTTGTGTTCTAAATCTTTTCTTCAAATGTTACGATATTGATCAATATTGTGTGTTCTGTTACTTCCTTGCAAGCCACCAAAGTAGTTTAAAATTACAAAATTGTTGGCGGATCTTATGCGTTTCCTTCACGAATAGGCATTTGCCTCTTTCAAGATTGCTTATCACGCTCTTCATCAGTTGGGGCTTCTCTAGCAAGCTCTTCGACAGTTGCAGCTTCTCCAGCAAGCTGTGCATCACTTCTTGCCACCTCTGTTGCCGCAGCTTTTCAGCCAAGCTTGTTACACAAGTTCTGCAATCTTAAGAGGTGTAGAGTGTTTCATTGCGTTTGTGCAAATTAATCTGCGTTTTGTCAACGAAACAGAAGAGGTATGGCAATTCTTCAATTTCTGTTTTCCAGTGTTTGCTTCATTGAACATTTTTGTTTTTTTTTAGATATCTGTTTATGAGGTTGGTTAGTGCCTATATTGACTTTAATTTCTTCTTGTTCAATTTTACTGTTCATGAGTTAGTGTTTGGGGGATGAACTTCTTTTTTGACATTAGTTATAATCCCTGCCCCACCAAGTGTTTGATTCTAAGTTCCAGCGAGAAATTTATTGCTGTTCATGGGTTTGTGTTTTGGGATGAAGTTCTTCTTTTTTGACATTTTTTATAATTCCTGTCCACCATGTGTTTGATTCTATGTTCAAGTAAGAAATTTATTGGAAACAATCGATCATTGGATGATGAGGCTAAGTATTTCCCGTTGTGTGAAAATCGCAAGAACCAGACTTCATCATAGTGTTCTTGTAATAGCTGTCATAAGAAGTAACAGAAAATAAACAATGAATTCCAAGGGATAGATGAAGCCATATTTCAAATCAATAAACTATGTAATCAGCACAAAAAAAAACAATTTTTCAGAGACCTCTGTGCGGTGCTTCTCCAGCAAGCCGTTGTTGAAGTGGTGCTATTGTTTGCTGGTTTATTTGCCTCTGAAAGAGTTCCCCATGTGCTGCAAGACAAAAACAGTGAATCAGTGTAGAAAATGATCTATATATATACTCTCTGCGGTTTGGATTTCACCATGTCTAGGAAACCAGACAATCTGGTATGTGAGTTTGCCCTTGGATTTGTTCAATTTCTTACTGTTTGTTTGAGTGTTGCATCTTCCTTTATTCTGCAGTTTGCATTTGGGTTGAACTCTCTATGTTTTTTTTCTTTCACAGACCAGCTGCCAATCCGAACAATCTGGTATAATATTTTTTGTTTGCAGTTTCTCTGTCTTCTATGATGGAGATGTCAATACTTGATTTCTATGCTTTTGTATTACATTGACGTTTGTTAGGTGCATAGACAAATTATGCATACCATCTGCTTGGCAATATGGCTGACTAAGCCCAACTGAGTTTGGCAAAGCAAAAAATTATGGGCTTCCATAATTCAATATTTGATTATTTTGATGGAAATAGTACCAAAATTTGTGATTCCTTATTAAATTTCAATGTATTCAGAAATTATAGACAAAATCGTCTGCTTTATTCATGTAGGAAAACACCAAACTGGTTTTTCCATTCCCATGTCCATTCCCATGTGACAAAGTGATACCTGCGAAAGGCTTAAAATGGAAGAACCTTACGTACTATGGTCGGGATTTTGTTGCTCTCTCATGTTCCAAAGTAAGTTATAATATCACAGTTCAGCTGGGTTCTAATAACTTTTGTGAATCTTCCCAGTTCTCCTATTCCCTCTTTAGATGAGATGAGCCCATTGTGTCTTTTGAAAGCATTTGAATATTTGTAAAATTGTTCTTAACTTTGTTTAAGATTATGATGTATCAGAAATTTCAAGAACTTGATGTCATTCTAAATATTACACCTTTTGAGTCTCTTTGTCACTCTTAAAGTAATTCTGTTTGTGTCTCCATAACTAATTCAAAGTCTGACTTTTAAATATTATGTGAAACATGAGAAAACTTAGTCTAGCACCAACAGACAAATAATTAAACACAAAAAATGAAAAAACACAGAGGAATTTGAATCTCATACGAACATTTATTTATTTTTCCAAAGAAAGAAGAAAAAAACTTGAAATCTTGTGTCAAAAACACTGAACCCCCATCCAATCCGTCGATGTCATACTTGATAGGAAAATGGCTCTGAGATTTAGCTATCAAGTATAATGAGTAGATTGCTCACAAAATTAAGATCCTATCAATCAGTTATTTGACTTGATGGTGTATGCTCACAAAATTAAGATAAACTCACAAATGTAATGAAGAAACAATATATTTTTAACTTCTGATGCATTCCTGAGTTAGTTCTAAAAATTCTTGCTACTCCTATTTTCATATTCTTCGAAATATAATTCCTAATCCCTAAATATTTCAATCCCAATTAATTTCTGGGTCACAAAAGAATAAAGAACAGCACAAAGATGAAGGTGAATATGGTCTCACTGATGCAAGCTTTGTCTTGCCCGACTCACACTAGTTCAGATATAAGAAAAGGTGACCTATTATAGACACTGCAGTTTATAGGTAAAGAAAGAAAAATAACAACAAAACAAAATATACAAACTGGAAGAAGAAATAACCCAACATCCTGAAGAACATGTCTGAGGCGATGAAAATAATGAACTCCTCAAGCACCAAGCCCATGCATGTGCTGAAGAAAACAAGAGAAATTCATTTCACATCCTAACCATTTGAATCAATATAGGACAAGAAAACCCAAAACAGAAACACAAAAGAGAGAAAATAATAACAATTTAAAAAAGAACAATATTCTTTTAGGGAAGAATGATACTTTTTCAATTACATGTTTGTCAAGCTGTTACTTTGACATTGAAAGGAAGAAACAAAATAAAGCTTCCCTGTAACTAAGCAAGTTTCCAAAAATGCAAGTTAAGGAATTAAAAAAGAACAATATTCTTTTAGGGAAAAATGATACCTTTTCAATTACATGTTTGTCAAGCTGTTACTTTGACATTGAAAAGAAGAAACAAAATAAAGCTTCCCAGTAACTAACCGAGTTTCCAAAAATGCAAGTTAAGCGGGAAGAATCATTTCCTTTATTCAAACAACTACCCAATGAAAACTTGACATATATATGCTTTCACCCAAATTCTCCTTCACTCCAATTCAACATACTTTTGCTGCATTCCTAAATCTTAAAATTTACAATTAACCAAAAGAGATGGAACCAATCTTTCAAACTGTAACCTGCCATTTTGTCTTGTTTTGCTGTTCTAAAATTGCTCTTGGATTTTATTCCTCTTGAAGTCATGTATACTCCTAATGGTTTTCATTGACATGGCATGATTTAATATTCCTTCCTATTCATTATGTTTCCTCTTGTAATCATTTGATCTGATAGGATACTAAATTTCGGGGTGTTATTCATACATGGATGATGTGCTTGTTTGCTTGATATGACTTTTGTTCATATCTCTAGATATAATGTTTTCTAACATGCTATGAGTATGCCACTTCAGTTTCTTAATTCTCAAAGGAGAATTTCATGATTTTGGAAATAATTTACTTCAAATTGTTTTTAGAACCTATTGCAGTGTCTATTAAGATTTGGACCCTCTATTAGGGCTAGCTTCCTTTGCAAGGAGATTTTCAGTGGTTCTTTGTGACCAAACTGATGTTTTTGCTATCTCTATGATCAATCTTGTTTTTTTCTTTTGTCAAGTGATTTTAATGCATGAATGTATTTATTCTGTTTTTTCAGGAGGAAGAGAAGTTTGTGAAGGACATGGAGATGAACAATTTAAAGAAATTTGTAAATCAAGGGTTTGATTTTTTATCATTTCACCTTATTAATCATCTTTTATGTGTTTGTGCTTCCGGGAATTACATCTGGATAAATTTTTTACACATGAGGTGAGCTTTGAAGACATCAACAAAGCTTATGATTTATTTCTTGAAGGAAAATGTCTCCGAGGTGTGATTTGGATGAACAAATGAGTATGTCCCTCTGATGTTATTCTGTGTCTTCCCTTGGGACATCTCTTATCTTATTGTATGCTTCATAAGTCCAAAATCCATGAATTTTGGTGGTTGATTACAATAAAATTGAAGGTTATGGTTATTCTACAACATTACCACGGCAATTAGAAAGTAAAATCAATGGAGTATTGTATTGCTTCCAATAAATCAGTAGTTGCTTTGATATTCAAAATAACTGAAAATGATACATATACATATCCTTGAGATAATAATTATTATTTATTTCATCTCTCTTAATAAAAATATAATTATGTTTATATTGTTCTCTATACATAATGTTAAATATCTATTTCAATTATTGACGCTGACAATCGCGTGGGAGTCTAACTAGGTATATATATATATATGTTACCCGTCAAAACAACTGGGAACCGGCCCTTGAGTTAAGATTAGTAAAATTTGTGTGTTGAGCTCCCAAATTTTGGCGCAAAATAAGACTCTTAAATTTGTTGATTCTATATTATATTATAAAAGATTCCATAGTAGTAAAACATAAACTATTTTTATCCCCATTTTTTTTTTTTAAACGAAACCCAATTGAAAAAAAAAAAAAATATATATATATATATATATATAGGGTTCATTTGGAATGTGGGTTGGTTTTTTGACTTTTTGACTTTTTGTGTATTTTAGCTTGAGATTAAAAGTCTCATTGGGTATAGACTTTTTGATTTTTTTGACTTTTGTAAAAGAAAAAATAAAATAATTATAGTTTAAATGTGACATTTTATCTTATTAGACTAAAAAACTTATTTTGTGTTTTTTTTGGTTACTTTAATAAAAAAACCCTCGTTTAGCTTACGCCAAACAAGGGCATAATCATTGTTAAGCCAGTTAAAATTTTATACAATCAATCCAAACAAATTGAAATATATATTATATAATGAATTCAAATAGAATCTTATGTCAAGATTTTAATAGAATAAATAATTTTATTTTAATATTTTTGCCCTCTCTCTGTATCATATTTTAATTGAATAACCTTACCATAGTTAATTTCCTTTAATTTTGTTTGCACTATCTCCTTATCATAATTTAATTTAATAATTTTACCTTAATTTTTTCCTAATTTTTTTTTTAACAATTTGTGTTTGACTATCAAATAGCCAATGGATTGTGATTGTGTTATCAGATATTATATTAAAATAATATAATCATTTCGTTGCTAGATATTAATAAATTATGTTATTTATATTAATTATTGTTAAACTATAAAATAACCATAAGTTTTAATTTTAACCTATATGTTTGCATTTATTAATATAGAATAAAGGACTTGTTTTGTTTATTTTGGTTTTGAGAGATAAATTTAAAAAAGTTTTTTTTGAAAAAGATCTTAGAATTTTTTTTGATTTGTTTAGTTGTATATTTTGGAAATAGTTTTGTAGTATAAGAGTTTGGTATGATTTGATATTTTATTGTAATTGAGTAGATGTGTGTGAGAAAAAAAGTGATTGAGAATGAGAGAAGAGAGAGAAAAAGTGATTGATTGATATATAAGAGATATAAAGTAATATTAAATTATTTTTTAAAAATCACTAAACTAAACAAAAATTTTAAAAAAAATTTCAAAATTTGTTTCTCAAAACAAAACCAAACCAAACCAAACAAGGCGTATGAGGTTCAAGTTGTTGATACTGGAGTCAGGTTTGAAGTTCTGGTGGACTATTATTGAAGTAAGAAACATTACGAGATAAATATTCAAAAGAAACAACGCTGACCAATTTCATAAATATTGAAATAACTAATTGATGGCTTGTTTGGTAGAGCTGTGAAAAAATAATTATAGATTATAACTTAACAGATTATATGATATAAAAATGTGAACATAAGCTGTTAACCTGTTTGGTGCAGCTGCGAGATTATGAATTTAAGCAGCAGAGTAGTATTTGGTTAATAAGCTGTAAAATAGTTTTTTACTGTACAATTGTCTTTTTTACCCTTATATGATATAAAAATGATTATTTTGTCATTTTTTTTAGTTTTAATTTTCATTAATAAAAGTTAATATAATTAGTATTAATTAGTATCAATTAATATAAAAATTGATACATTTGCTAAAAATGAATGGAAGTATTATTGTTACAATTATTTTCTATTATAAATTAATTAGTATTAAGTAATTGCTTAATTAGTATCAATTAATACTAAAATTATTAATTAGTATAAATTAATATTAATATTTAATTTTTATTAGTATCAATTAATATTAATAATCAACAACTGTTATTAATTAGTATCAATTAATAATTAATTCATTACAAAAGTATACAATATTAATTTGTTAATAATTAATACCAATTAATATTGATTTTTTTAATTAATATTGATTTTTTTCTTTTTCTTCAGAAATATACAATTTTTTATTTTTTTAATTAATATTAGGGCAAATTACAAACATCCCCTTCGAGATTTGGTGAAAATACAGATTCCCTCCTGAGGTTTGAGAAATTACAAATTGCCACATGAAGGTCAAATTTGTATAACAAATTAGGGGAGAATCTGTATGAAAATAAAAATCTTAGGGGGCAATTTGTTATGGAAATATAAACCTCAGGGGGCGGGATGTAATTTCCCAAATCTCAGGAAGGAATCTGTATTTTCACCAAATCTCGAGAGGGGTGTTTGTAATTTGCCCTTAATATTAATATTAATATTTTGGTATTGATGAGGGCATTTAAGTAATTTTAGCCCCCCACACCAGCTGCGCCCTTAAGAAAAAAATTTAAGCACCCCCTGACCAGCTTTTGAGATAAGCTGAGAAATAGCTTAATTTACACTATAGGCTGGTTAACTTAAACTGCACCAAACACAATATTTTAGCTTAAATTAAGCTAAAGATTGAAATAAGCAGCTTATAAGCTCTACCAAGTAGGCTTGATGTGGTATCTTTGTCACCACTATTAATGATGGGTGATGTAGTGATCACATATCCTAATTTAGAAGGAAAAATGCTTGGACCTCTTTTTTAGGCTAAATAATTTTTCTTGACTCTTAATTATTGATGTATGTGTGTGATTCACTTACGTATATATGGAATTCAAACCATCAATGGTTAAAATCTAAAAAGGTGGTTGGAGTCCTCCCAAAAAAATTCTCAATCATTGTTGATTTAGAAGTAGATAAAGATAAGAAAGACTTACGTGTTGATTTAGAAGTAGATAAAGATAAGAAAGACTTACGTGTAGGCTAGGTGAATTTATTGTCTAATAAATTATACGATAATTAATAATATTTTTATTAAATATTCTTAAAAAATATTATTAATTATTAATTTTTCGAGATAATTATAAGTTTTTGTGATAGTTTAAAAAAATTGTCACAAAAAAATATCACTAATTTTTAACGTTCAGCGACAATTTAAAATTTTCATCACAGAAAAATGTCACTAATTATAAATTTTAACAATAAGTTACAAAAATTGTGACAAAAAAAATCATTAATTATCAATTTTTAACGACATATATTAAAAATATCATAAAAATTATTTTTAATAATGATTTTACTAAGATTTATTTTCAATAAGATTTAATATGAATTAAGTCTAAATATTAAGACTTATTGATAATTTATCTTAAAAATAAAAAATAAAAATAAAATGAATGAAATTCTATCTAATTGATTTATATATCTATAATAATTTTCACGTGTTATAAAAATGCACTGCGTTGTCATTGTAGCCTTGTAGGTAAGAAGTTCGACGGAAACGGTTTTTTTTTTTTCCAGTAGAATCTAGAAAAAATTGGTAATAAATTTAATTTAAAGAGAGTTTAAGACATTAAATTCAATGTATTTTTTTTGAAAAATATTGGGGACTTATTTTGGAGATAATTTCCACACTTCCAAAGTAATCTTGGCTCTCTATATATGTGTGGAGTCCACACCAAGAGTGGTTCAGATTTGTGAGGGTCTCATGGGGGTGGAGGTCTCAATCATTACTTATTTTGTTTCCAATTTTACCTCTTATCTATTTGTTGACTTTGATTGACTATTTGTTCAATTTTTTTCCTATTTGTTCAATTTTTTTTGGTATCTGTTCAAATTTTTCCTATCTATTCAAATTTTTTCTTTTATTTGTAATAGTTGCCCAAATTTTATTATAGGTTCAATTTTAACAAATTTTATCGATTGGAATTCAAATTTATTTAAATGTTTAAACTCTATCTGTTTATATGTTTTTTTCAATATGATATTATCTGTATATATGCTTTTTTCAATCTGTTTCATTATATCATCATCATCAACAACAAACAACAACAATAACAATAACATCACAAATCTAAAATGTGTCCAACAATCAACAAAAAAAAAGAAAAAGAAAAGGATACATACATTCACACAAAACTAACTTATTTTCTCTATTTGTTTTATCTCTTTTTATCTCCATTTCATTATTATCATTATTCATCTCTTTTATTTATTTATAGTTTGCTTGTGCTCCAAGCAAAAGTTATTTTCTTTCCCTCAAAGCAAATGTTCTTTTCTTTCCCTCTAAGCAACATTTCTTTACCTCCAAGACAATTATCTTTCTGAATTTACTTAGAATCTACTCTTTATTTGCCTATAAGTTTGAACTCATCCTTTCAACTTCTTTCTATGATTCTTCTTCTTGGTCCATCTATATCTTTCTCTCTTTTATTCTGACACAGTCAGCTGCCTCGTCTCAACTCATCAATAGGCAACTCCACACTCTAATTCCCCCAAACCCTCTTTCTTTCTCTCTTCATTTTCTCTCAATTCTGACCAGAGTCTTCGACGCAGCAGCTCCGTAGTGCCCGCGACAGAGGATACCTAATCTGTCTATCTCCTCATCCTCTCTCTTATTAGTAACTTGTCTTCGGCAACGGCGATGACTCAATCAGAGAAACCCTTGCCATTGTCTCATGATCCTTAATTTTTGATGTTTTCCAAGGTAGGCCAAGATCTGAGTACCCTAACCCTAGATTCTTTTCCACTAGAACCATTGAACCAGTCTAGTAAAGTCTAGCTCATTGAAGTCAACCTCAACTTCAATGGTGGCGGCGGCATGTTCGAGGTCATGGAAACATGATTAATCGTTATTAGCAACATCATAAAACAGTATCGCACCGTGCAAATCGGTTAAACGCTTGAAGATC